GTACAGACACTGTCTGCCGATGTCCTGCGGCTTGTCATACCAAAGTTTCAGGATCGCCTGATCATCGAGCCCAAGTATGGGGATAAGTCAGCTCTTGAGGACTTCAATGTCAAAGCATGCTTAGGAGACTCCCTCTCAGACAGCTTCGCTGGTGCTCTTAAGGTCCCACGCAACAAATGTGAGAGTGCAGAAAAACTGACCGAACTGGTTGAGAGTGAAGTTTCACAGAAGGTAAAATCTTTTCTGTCTGTGGCTGCCAACAACCCAGTTTGGCCAGATGATCCTGCCGTTTATGTCAACTGCTCCATGTCCAACATGTCATCTCTTAAACGCATGTTGAGTCATGCAACTGACTGTCTGAAGAAGTTCACAAGTAGGCTAAAGCTCCTTGGAACACGTATGGGATCAAAAAGCGCTGAGATTTTCATCAACAGATGCTGTGAATCAAAAGTATATTCTTTGGCAAGCGAGGAACATGAGAGATGTAAATCATCTCAGAGCATAAAATCAAAGATCTCTGTAGCCTCAGCGATCCAATCTGTGGGTGAGATCCTGCAAAAATGGTCAGATCAGACATCAGACACTGAAGTGGTTGAAAATGCTAAATCACCTCCTGACCCCTCACTTGATGCTCATTTTGCAGCGTCTGATATTGTCGATCAAATAATGTGTGATTTGCAGGATCACAGTTGTGTGAATATGGGATCAATACACGACACAGTGAGAACCTTCTTTTCTCCAACGGCCACACCCACAGAAGACACCAGTAATAAGAATGAAGAAGTTAGCAAAGTAAAATTCCAAAAAGTTGTCTCAAACCTGGTGGAACAAATGATGGGAGAACTTCAGAACTCATGTAAGAAACAGGAAGGAAAATTTGTGGTTAGTCTTAAAAAGATTGCAGAGTCTGCCAAAAGGCTGCCAATTGCCTGAGGAATTGTAAACCTAGTGACATGTTACCAGGATTTATTCCAGAATGCATTACTGAGCTTAAAGTCCGCGTTCGGGCCCAGAACACAGCAATGTTCCCTGTGAGAAAGAATCGTTCTTCTCCGCGAGATCAGGTGGATGTTACAGAAGAGGTTGAGAGCTTGTTTGAAAAGATAAACTCGCCACGGATATCTGCAGCACAGGCAAAAAAAACACTGGAAGACATCATGTCCAGTAATGAGATCAAGACATTTTCAAAGGAGCTGACTGACAAGATGTATGCTCACATGATTTCCAGCCACACATATCTGCTTCCCCTGCCCCAATTGGGAAAATGTCTCTCTGACTCCGTCATTTCCAAGAAACGGAAGGATGGCGATCATTTCCAAACTTCTCCTGAAGTCCTGTATGCCATGACAGAGGATTCAGTGAGAAAATTCTTGCAGAAGGTCCTAATCTGGTTGGAGAAGGAGCCAACCGCTAATACCAAACACAACCAGACATTGTCCGGCGCCCTAACAGACATAGAAAACCTGATCCCAGTACTGCTGAACCAACCGGAAGAAGAGAGCTACTTGCAGACCAAAGTACCAAGTCAGCTGTCCTCTGGAGACATTGTGTCAGAGAACTCATCCTCGTGCCATAATTCTCCACATTTCCAGCGTCATATTGATTGTTACAGTTTGACCAAAAGCAAAAAACGGGTGTCTTCAGAATCAACGATATCCTTGGAGTCTTCACGGAACTCTTTGGGTCATCTATCATCGTCCAACAGGTATACGACAAGCTCTGAAAAGTCGACAAATGCAGTCCTTTCAGTGCTATCCGTCACAACATCTCCTGAATGCATAAGAAAGACCAATAGCCTCACCACTGCTCTGATGCTGAAGCTCCAGTCCAAAGCCCCAAAGAAATCCAGAACGTCCCTTCAGATGGATAATATCGATACTGTCATCAAGCGTCTGTCTGACAAAATATGTGACGAGATCGACTTCTCCGCTATCAGCCAAATCAAGGATAACAAGCAATTCAACAAGTCTGTGTTAAAAGACCTAAAAAAAGAGTTTGGCTCTCCAAAAGAGACACTGAAGGCAGCATTATCAGACGAAACAGCTTTTGACGATGCTGTCCTGAAATATCTGAAAATCCATCTGGAAGCCCTAAATGCTGCCCCAAAGCAGAATGCAGTGTACAGGGTTTTTGCAGCAATAGGAACAGCTATCATGAAACCTTTCACCATGTGCATGAGTGCTGAGGACTAAAATGATCCTCCTTTTTCAACCCCACAGTCCCCTGACCACCAAATCAGGAATCCAAACCTTCCTCCTTGCTGTGTAATTTCTCATCGTTATTTTGACAGTCGATGCCTTCCATTTAGGTGTGGCGGTAAACGCCACATGTAAATTGAATGCAGTCGAAACCAACTCAAAATGATGGCTAGGAGAAAGATCCACAACGTTACCACTGAACTCAGCTGCTCACTGGTGACACTGTGGCTTCACAGCAAAGGTCAGGGTTTATTTCCGGTTTTGACTTTCCATCATCCCCATTGGGTTTTCTCCAGGTGCTCTGGTTCCCCAACCATTTTAATCTGAATTGAAAATAAATAAATAAATAATAATAATAATAATAATAATATAATATTACTGGTATTTCTTTCAACTGTAAGGTGTTAACAAATGTAGGCATATAAGTGAAATGTGTAATCTTCAAATCATTTGAACCAAATTGATGTGTCAATAGAGTATGGATGTTTTGTCTGATAGAGTTAACCAGATTACATGAAGTTTAACTCTGCACGAGCAGCTCAGTCGGTCTTAAATAGATATTCTTCAAAATTGCCTAATCTTTAACTAAATACAATTCTCAGTCATATTACAGTATGTGTGTGAAACAAATAGAATACAATGCGATAAAGATTCTGCGTAATACGAGTAAATGTTCATCTTTCGTATGAGGAAAAGCTTCAGATTTAGTCTCAGATTTTATTTGGAACTCTACACTGAATAAACATGGTTTTTCTCCTATACTTTGGTATTTTAGAGCAGTTGTTCAAGGGCTCTAGGCCTGTGCTGCAGCCATAAAAAAGATAACAATCAACATCATTAACTTAAAACATAAAACGATGAACAATATTTAGTCATTTCCAGAAATAAATGAAGCATATAAATAACATCAGGTTCTTAAAATACCAGTGCAAACACACAAAGAAAGATTATATTCTATAGCCTATCTGTCTTATTTGCCACTATTTAAAAGTTCTAAACTATAGGATAAATGACTGAACCTGTTCAGTCTACAGCAGGGAATTTTATAGCTCTCACTTCAAACTCAAAGTTGCTTTCAGTCCAACCAATGCACCAAATGGTAAATGTGAAAGCTCCTAATTATCGTGGTTAGTTTCTAGAACAAACAATCAATGAAGCCTCGTTTTTCTCTGTACATTGTTCACTGCTTGTATCATATTCTATAATATATCCTAGCTCTGTGTTGAACCCAAAATTCTCCAAATAACCAAAGATTGCTTATCTTCCCTGACATGCAACAGATGAGCTGATAACAGTAAAGATAGGATTAACTCTAAATAAAATGGTGAATACTGAATTCATGCTGCTTTGTGTAATATGTGTATCCCTTCTTCTTTGAGGTAATGGTTGAGTTGACATGAGTTGTGTGAGTGTACTCAGAGAAACATAGGAAATGGTAGTGATGGAGAAGACGATTTTCATTGTTTTTCTAATTAGCTATTCTTTTGACTTTGTTTCCATTCAGTTGGCTGCAGGTCTGCTCTTGTACTGGCTCTCTGGTGAAAAAGCCAGCTGTGTGATGTGGTTATGAGTGTTGGAGTGTTGGAGATCAGGAGTCACAAGTGATAGAGGAAAAACATTATCCTAAATCACAAATTGTTGTTGTTGTGTTGAATTGTTGTGTGACACTTTAATGACGTTAGGAGTTTTCTGACCCTAAAGAGAGTTTAAACATTATTATGTACTTTTCTCTAGAAGCTTTTTACACCAAAACAGATGTAGAAATCCATTAAAACCTGTAAAGGGGCCTTTAGGTCTGTTAAGTTATTTAACAGCTGCTTGATTCTACTGCTTTAGGGCTTTTACTTTGATAGTTTATTATATCTTACCAAAGGCATAATAATAATAATCAGCACAATATCTTCCACCATTCCTCCATATGTCTTGGACATAAGTCTGAGGGTAAAACTGACTACTGGGTCAATGTCAACATCACATACTTTTATTTCAGCACCTCTGTGAACAATAGTTTGCTGAACCATGAATGAAGATTAAACATGTCTCCACTTAGTGGTTGAACAGAGAAGTAAACAGTAACCTATAAGGAATAAATGAGACTATTGTGTTTTATTGTTTCGGCCCTTCAGGTTATATCCTTGTCTTGAAGGAAAAACAATAAACTTTTTATAAAAAGGATCAACTAAAAAACTGATATGCCTGTAAACAGTGCAGCTCTTACATGCAACAAAACATTGTTGTTCAGATGAGGTCACTCTTCATGGCATTTTAAAACAAACAAAAAATATTTATAACAAATGATTAAAAGATCAATAAACAGTGTTATTTTTATTAACTGAGTAACAACACATTTGTAAATTATTCCACCTTAAAGACTATGATTGCAACACATTGCAACTGTTTATTTATTGGTCTAAGAGTCCATGAACATTGGCCCCATACTTAGAAAAAAAAAACCTTTAAGGCATACAGGACTACTATTCTATTCCTGTTTTTCTAGAGTTCTTATGAGCCCAAAGAGGCAAAATGGGGCAATAAAAAATCCCGACAACGTTATTTTTTTAACAGTCTATGGTTCAAACTATCAGCTTGCTGTTGTTATGTTTGTAGTACAGTTGTAGTTCTGTGTGCGTTTTCCATTTTCACGGTGCGTTTGGTTTACGTTTAGAGCAAACCCGATTGACAGAAACTGTTGTGAGAAGAGACCGCCCCGCCCAGCGAGGCTTCACTGGGAACCAAAACACACACCCTATAAAATCCTATTCGAATGGTATCCAGCCAATCAGAGCGCAGAGCGTCGGGAGCGCCGCTGTTTGAATGCTCTGCGGAAACAGTCACAACTCAACTGAATCGACAAGTTGACCACGGTACAATGCAGTTAGCAACCTGACGAATGAAAAGGAGAATGAAAATCACCGCTCTAGACGAGGCTAACGGTAAATGAAAGTAGTTTTTTCCCCCGCGTAAAGCATTTTTTTCTCCACATTTGTATCGTTTATAAACTAACGTGGCTCGCTCACGCCACTCAGCTAACTGCATTGCAATCTACAGCTAACCAGTCGATAGCATCCCATGATGGATGCGAGTCGTTAACTTGTAGCTCTTACTGCTGAGGCTCCAGACAGTAGATATAGGACGACCGATTGATCAAAGTTGAAGAAAACAACGGTATAAAAATGAAAGTCATGGAGAAGAATGTGATGCGTCTGGTGGCTGTGCAACATCTCCGCTCAGCGTTTGGGATAAAGACAAAGAACTGGAACAAAAACAAGGCAGCCAGCTGGAGGACGACAGCCAGCACCTCGGTAAGTCAACACATAAACAAAACCTACATTTAAAATAACGTGTTTGTCATTTGCAGTGACTCTGAAACACCGGATTTGACTGTCTGTTATGGCAAACAACGATGCAACATTTTCAGTATCACCCTTGAGTATACTATTGTTAAATGTCCTGAATGAAATTAGCATATTACTGAAAGCTTGCCCCCACTGATGAAACCCATTTGTTAGCAGGCTGTTTTCACTTAATGTCAGTCACTGCTGATGCTTTGTTTGGCTGCTCGGCGGATTATTCGCACCATAAATGTCTTTACCAGCAACAGAAAGAGAAGTCTGAAAAGACCCAAAAGCGCAATGTTTTCTCATAAATCTTTTTGGCACATTGTTGCTGCAATATTTTTTTTTTGTTGCTATAAAACATTGTCGGTGCAGCAGCTTAATCTCTATCATATGCTAAAGAGGTATGTTGCAAGAGATCCTGTGACTTCTCACTTCTCAATGGAGCTTTGAACTTGAGTTCTGACTCAAACTGACTTCTGCATTCGTGCTGAGCAAAGTACCACAAACTTAACCCAGACTGTTTAAAAAGAGAACACATTGAAGTGGTTTTCCTAAACTGAAAAACACTAGATGAATAAAAGTTATTTAGATTTGGAAAAATGTGAAAAAAAAATTCTGGATTGCTGATATTATTCAGCCTTTTTTTTTGTCGCTGAGTTGATTTCTATTTTTTTTTTTTTGTCCTGATGATTGTTTCTCCAGACAAAGGTTTTTGGTGTGTCCCTGGAGAGCTTACCATACTATAATATGGAATGCGGGCGCGTACCAAGGCAAGTAGACGTGCTTGTTTATGTAATACAACTTAAGCTATAAGTGTTTCTTTCCTCCCATCTTTTATTATTTCCTAACATTTCCTTCTTCCTTTTTTTAGCTTTCTGGTCGATGCATGCATGAAGCTGCAGGCACATGTCGACACAGAGGGCCTGTTCAGAAAGTCGGGCTCTGTCATTCGTTTGAAAGCACTCAGGGTGAGCGATGGTTGATGTTGACCTTGTATTCATTGGGTGACCTTGACCCAGAGAAAGGTCTTAACACAATGGCGCATTGCTTTTGTTTTTCTGTCCAGGCTAAACTGGACATGGGTGAGGAGTACCTTTCCTCTGCACTTCCCTGTGACGTGGCCGGGCTGGTGAAGCAGTTTTTTCGGGAGCTGCCAGAGCCGGTGCTGCCCACAGAGCTGCAGGAGGCCTTTCTCAAGGCCCAGCAGCTCCCCACTGAGGAGGAGAGGACCTCTGCCACCATGCTGCTGTCATGTGTACTGCCTGATAAAAACCTGAGCGTGCTGCGTCACTTTTTTGACTTCCTCAACAATGTGTCCAAGAGGTGCCCACATTTAGTTTACATTACACAGATACATGTTTCAAATTTAACCCCTGTTTTTACTCTTGATCCTTTACCATCATCCAGTAGTAGTATAGATGATTTTTAAAAGTCTATACTACAAGATAGTTTTTTCCCTTAAAGAATTCCTGCCTCTTTAATTTTCTGGGCTTGCTTGCAGGTGTGCGGAGAATAAGATGGACAGCAGTAACCTGTCTGTAATCTTGGCTCCCAACCTCCTTCACTTCGGAGAAAGTACAGAGAAGATGAACACCAACACCGAGAAACGACTCAAGCTCCAGGCAGCCATCGTGCAGTGCTTCATTGAGAACGCCCACAGCTTTGGTAGGCCTTCAGGACTCCTGCCTGCTGGTAATTTGTATTTACATACAAACTGTTTCCTTTAAATAATGAGCAAATGTTTTGTGTTTGTCACAGGTGTGTTACCACAGTTCCTCCAAGAGAAAATTCCAGCCATGCTGGGCTGTGAGTCAGGGGTTCAGTCCCCTACCCATGAGGGTCTTGAGGAGCTGGACTTGAACTCAGGGATGAAGAAGAGACACAGGCGCAGCTTCGGAGGTAAACCTTCATATCATACATTTAATTACGCAGGGATAGCTGCATTGCCAGAAGATTTCTATAATTTCCTAAATTCAACAGATTCTATCGAAACAAAAATAGTGCAACAATACAAAAATGTTAAATGAGCATTAGACCTATAAATCCAATGTAGCCAAATGAATCACATGATGTATAAAAAGTTTTAGTCCGTAAATCTTGTTCATCTTATATTATATTGTCTCATATTACAGATATGGTCAATGGGGCTCTGAATAAGATAAAAACTAATAGAACACCTACACATGCCTCCCAGTCAGACAGTCTTGGTAGGTACTGGGCTCAGATGAGATGAAGTCGAGCATCCTATAGCATGGGGATACTGTAGTAATCCATCTGCTGTGCTTAATGACAAGCTTCCTGCTCCTCATATAGAAATCAAACTTTATTCTATGACATATTTATCCTCTGCTTTGTTTCAAAGGGAATACATTCATACATGCCCTGATTATGAATAATTAGTCATTTCAATGAAGTCTATTCATGGCTGGTTGAAATGCCTGTTCTGGCTGTTTTTCTTTGCCTGTCTCATTTGCATGGGTTTTTCTTCAACACATTTCCGTCAGCCTTGCTCTTTATTCTCAGTGCCTTGGCTTGCAATCATCTTCATAATGTTTTTAAATACAGAAAACAATGCAAATCCTATTTGGTGATCTGAATTCTTTTGTGATTTTTGCCAGTCTTTTCCTCTGCTACTCCTGTGATCGCAACGCCAACCTCAAAGCGAAAGCTTCCTTTGGAGTCTGGTCACTCTTTCGGATTCTCAAACAAGAAACGTAGATCAATCAAAAAGAACCTTGGGATAGATTTACTTCCCAATACTTTGTTCAGCGGGACTTCTACTCCTGGATCAGGTATTGATGGTTGTTTGATCAGTGGGTCATCGATTCATTTCATACATACAAAGCTGTGTGTCTAACTTCTGTTCTTCCCACTTTTTACGTGTTGTAGCTTACAGCGCCTCGGGGGTCTTGGACACTTCCCACAATGCTCTGTCACCAGCAGGGAGGTCAAGAAGGCAGTCGGCTACTTCTGTCAGGAGGAAGAGTCGACGGCTGAGCAACAGAAATGCTGTTCACAGGTACACGCCCTCTTTGTCCTGCAGTTATACTTTAGTAATCGTTTGTACACATTGTGCAGCATAATGAGAAACCTGTAAAACAATGGCCTCAGTGCTACATGCTGCTATTAGTATATCTGAATGTTTTTATGTATATCCTTTCAGAGTGGAGTCAGGGAAGACTGGTTGCTTTTCTCCTAAAGTCGACAAAAAAGAAGCACCGCGCAAATCTCTGCGTCTGCGTTTCAGCCTGGGGAAGAGCAGCAAAGAGGCTGTAAGTGTGGTCGCCCGTTAAGACTTCAATGTCCATGTATCTGGTTCACAGATAAACAACGTTGTTTATAATCTCCGGGCATATTTAGATATATATGTATATATATATTGCAGTTAAATGTATTAAAACTCTAGTAACATATTTGCACATGGGTTGTGTAGTTGTTGCACACTCGCACTTTTTTATTGGGTAACTTTTCTATGTTTGCTTTTAGTAGCTAACACATTTAATCTAACGCATGCACAGCTTTCAAAAGGAGTCTTATTGTCTACGTAGCTCCATGACATTTGTAACGCTACAATGAAATAATGTGTTTATTCAAGTTTGATACAAAGTCACAGGAACTTTCTAGTGTTTGGGTTTCAGTGGTTTAAGACTGTTGCACACTAAGTCAGTTTTTTTTTTTGCTAAATCAGTGCACGTTCTAAAAGAAATACAGTCTTCATATCATGTAAGTCGTGTTTGCACGCTGACTCAGAAACCTTCGCGTTGTTATTTTTTGCGGAACCAGTTTGATTTTCTGCGTTTTTTCACATCCATCCCTGTGTGTTTGGGTGTCAGCCGCTGTTTAGGTTCAATTTCTTCTCAGAAATTGGTGGTGTTTCTTTTTGATGTGTGGTTCCAGTATAGAGAGCAGTGTATGACACTAGATCACTGACATCATTAAATACACCTGGGAGCTATCGTGGATAATTCTGAGGCTCCTTATCAACAGGAAAAACTCCCCTTGCTCTTGTTTTCAGGAGTGGGCAGACACTGTTTTAAAACATTTAGTTAAACAACCACAAAATCAACTTCACTGCTTCAACACTCTGCTTGATGAGTACGACACACTTAGTCTCATATTGTGAGTTTCTCGCAAGAAAAATAAACGGATGCGGTGTGCAAGGTGTCTGTGCATAACATATATAATCTGATCATGCATCAGAAAAGAATGACTGTGAAGAATTCAGGTGTCTTTGTAACCTGTTTGGGGTACGCTGAATGAGCTCGTCTAAAGGGTTATGGTGCTCTATATGTACATTCTTGACTTAATAAAAAGTTGTTGACAAACAAAATGGAACGATTTGTTTCTTCTGAGTGATTTTGATCGTCCTCTGAAGAACTAACAACAACAATCATGAAATTAACACATTAATGAAACATACTGGGTAACATCTGTGGGGTCCTTTTTTTTTTTTAACAAAATAATATCCAAACACTTAATCCTCCTCTAAGCCTTTTCTTTTTCCATCTTTCATTTCTCATTCCATGCTGGTGATAAAGGGGTCTGAGTCCATTGGCTGGCGACTTGCCACTCAGGAGAGCACCGCCAGTTTCTGTTTCACCAAAGAGACAGAGTTCAGTCCCTCTGTGCTGCCAAGGAAAGCTGAATCCAAAAGTAAGTGGATAAAACACAATATTTTTTAGTGTCATGTAACATAATAATCTGAGTTGTAAAACCAATATCTGACTTATTTTATAGGCTCAAAGTTCATCAGCAAGTCTGAAGACAACCTGCTGACCCCTCAATGTGACTCAGGAGCCCTCGGTACCTCGTGGAGTGGAGAGACCCCTGTGGGTGGAGGGTCTTTCACAGACACCCCCATGAACATGTGCCTTAAGAGCACCTACAAGTCTGAGCCAGCCATTGTTGTATCAAAGCCGCCGGTGGTGGCCAGCCTTCCCAAGAAGCTTTGCTGCGCTTCCAGCGCTGAGAGTCTGGAGAGTGAGAGGTCCATCACTGAAGAGCCAACTCAAACCGACCCCACCCTGCTGAAAATAAAGAAGTCTGGCAGTGACCTCCTGGCTGTGGCACAAGAGCCCTGCACAATACAACACAAGACTGCATCATAGTCCCTCCACCAGAGAGTCCTTCAGTCAGCGTGGACACAAAAGGGTATTTGTTTCAAGCTCAGCAGAGCCACCTGGGAAACGATCAGAACATCACCTTTGGTCATTTTGAAATTGCGGCATTATCCCCTCTGCATATAGACAGTGTAGTTTTTGAGTCTGGTGCATTCAGTCCAGCTGCTAATGCTGCTGAAGAGTCTCCTTGTGCTGCTCCAATCAGCAGCCACAACAACTCTATGGTGGGAGAAAGTGATGGAGAGTTGGAGCAGGTGAACTGCAGCAGGTTGATCGACGCTCTGGACATCCACAGCCCCGCTCTCTTTAAACTGGGCGTCTCCTCCGGGCTACAGTCCACACCATACAAGCGGGATCTGGACCTACCAGAAGAGTTTGGCACACCGAAACTTGGTACTACAGTCAGTTGCAGTGCGGTACATGAAGAAAACGAATCTTGCCATGAGATTGGTGCAGAATTCCAAAACCAGCAGGCCCTATCGCCTCGCAGCCTGGAGAGTGAAAAGCGTCGTGTGGCAGATCACATCCAGCACTTCAACAAGCTCACTCTCCATTCTCCCAGAGGACCAAAGGGCTTTCACATCCGTTCACCGCTCAAGTTCACGCGCACCCCAGTGCGTCAGACTGTCCGCAGGATGAACTCTCTGCTGGGAGAGGGAAGGAGGCCCTCGAGAAAAACAGAGCTCACCATCAACCAGGGCGCTCAGGTGGTGAAGGCAATGAGCCTGGAGAGTGGCCTCTCCCCTCACCCTCAGCTCAAGCTCCTACAGGGAGAGGCGCAGGTGGGACTGCCCAAAAAGAAACCACCTCCAGTCCCACCCAAGAAGCCAAGCACCCTGGCCCGTAAAGCTAAGGCTTGTGCTCTGGGCGATGTGACCAACAAGGTCCAAGCCAAGACCAAAGTGGACTCTTCTGTCCCCGGTCCACCAGCAGCTCAGAAGCCTGTGGTGCAGCAGCTAGCAGAGAAGGACATGAACCATTACAGAGGATCACCCAGAAACCCTCTGAACCAGGCCTGCCTGCTGCCTGCCACCAAGCCTGTAGATTTATAGCTCCCAATCTTTGATTTCTCTTCAACTGGCAGGTCCATGTCTGCCCGGACTACATGACTTTAAACATTCCCTCCTACATCATCCACATGTTCAGGGGTTTAATTTATTTGTAGCTACGCTAGATGCTGTTTGTGTTGAGTTAGGACATAATGGGAGATGTTCATATGCCTTATATTTGTTTTACTTTAGTAAAACAAGTTTACAAAAATCAACATTGCAGCCTATAAGATGATGTTAGACTGTAGAGTGCAGGCCAAATGATCTGTTGTGAATGACAGTGTGACTGGAAATGCTTAGATTAAGACTTAGGCTTTTATTTATGCTTTTTTTCTATCTAATCCTTAGTTTTTTTTTAAAAGAAAAATGTTTACTTAAGTTTTTTTTTATTGCAGAATATTCTCAAACTGTTTCTTGCCATGATTAGAAAATACGAAAAAAAAATGCACCTTTATTTGGATTTTATGGAAAAAAAGAAAGAAAGCCCAGCAGTATTAGTCACCTAATGTGTCTATTGTAATCAATTCATTTGAAGACAACAACCAGTGAAAGTGCTTTGCTATGCCAGCTGCTTCAGACAAATAAAATCAAATGGCATGTACCTGTTTGTGTCTTCAGCCAGGTTCCTCTCGTCTGGATATAGTAGTTCTAGTTGGAGCCACAAGGGGGAGCCCTACATTCACTGCTTTGACCACACCTGCTGAAATCCTCAAACATGCTCCTGCTGAGAAAGGGCTCAAGTATTTGTTCTGTCAGAGAAAATGAAATTGGAATGACTGTTCAGTCTGATTTCAATCATACCCACATCACATGTTAACGGGTTGTTTGCAGCAGTTATTATTTCAAAAACAAAATTCACAACATGTATAGAGGGGAGATGTATAGACGTTATTTTGCCCAGTGTATTTGAACAGGGAGCAGTGAACTGGTACTAGAAAGTTTCAGTGCATTAAGTCAGATAGCCTTAAATTATTGAGGATGACAAAACGAAGTGAAATTCCTTCTTGTAAAAAAATCTTCAGAGTAGACATGGAGGGGGTGAAGGTCAGAATCCTTCCTGGAGATTTATTCTCCTCAGTCCATTGCATTGGGAGGCTCTCGGGATTTCATGGTGATAGAGGATGTTTTTTAGACGTGGATGAAAGGTGAAAATTCCCCCTTCGCTTTATCTGTTAACTGTAATTTACTGCAGGGACAGCAGCGCGGTGTGTATTTCTATCGGTTTGTTTCTCCACCACCAGACGCTGCGTAATGACGCAGGAGTGAGCCGAGGCCATGTGCTCAACAGATGAGTTCACAGTGTGACGGTAGGCCACGATTGTTCCTTAATAAACATTAGAATGAGAAAGTTAACTGAAAATCCAGGACCAGACTATTCTCTAATGACCTTCAACAACAACACTGAACAAACGCTGGAGTTTGGTACGTTTTAAAAAATGCGTCATCAATCAAATAAGAAGACACATTTGACGTGCACGGTGTTGATGATGGTCACTCAAACCTAAGACGATCTTTTTAGATTGTTTGATTCAGCAAGAACATTCCAGTGTGTCATTGTATGTTTTATATTTCGACCTAAATCGATCAACAAAAAGCGATGCTCACTTATTTATTTATTTTAAAACATAAAGAGTTCATTTTTAATGAACAAATCACAACAGATTATTTGATAACCGTCCAACGCAAGAGTTGCTCTAAATATCAGTTATCATCTATAAAAAGCTTTTGTTAAATAGAAGCATGTATTTCTTTTATTAAACCACAGGACTAATAAGACTTCATTTGTCATGATTAAATACACGTTTGTCAACCATTTACTTCAAGTCCTTCACTGGTTTTCAATTAAAGTTATTAACTGCAGTAAGGACAACTACAGATCACTGCGTTCACATTCTCAATACAGTTTTCATGAAGGGACGAAATATTGTGTCAGTCTACTTTATGTGTTAAGGGGTAACATGTGGGCTGTACTGTGTAACACTTGCGTTCATTGTTTGCGTGAGGGTTGTGACCGCCTTTTTCACTATTCTTAGGTATAATTTATAACAAAAATGTCATCTTCCTGCTTCTTTTATGAAAACTGTTTGACTTTTTCCATGTTCGCAAAAACTTCAGGCCTATCCGCCACCTTCTCCTCCTCCTCTTCCTCCTCCTCCTCCTCTCTGCTCCTCGGTTGTCTGTTTTCTTGAAGTGGGTTCAGGGAAGTGTTGAGGGGGGCGGATAGTTTTGATTTTCTCTAAATCTCGCTTAGCCAATAATGTAGAGGGAACTGTTGTGCACATCTCAGCTGGCAGGCATTTAAAAGGGAGACAGTCCGGCGCTGGAGCAATTTGTATTAAACCCCCTGGCCCCTGTCTATGGAGCGCTTTTCTCCCACCCATCAGCAGTCCCGCCAGCGTACAGTCGACAGCAGTAGGTGCTGATCACCTCGGAGGGTGCCAAAGAGGACTGACACGATCAGATCGGATCATCGCACTTGAGGCAGTGGTGGTTCGCAGGTGAGTCAATTGTCTTGAGCGCAAATGTGTGAGATTTATACTTTTAATTGTCTATGGGAAAAAAATGCATAATTTTGATCTACGGGTTTGAATGTGACTACGCAGATGGTTAAATAAAGATAAGGAAATGCATGCTTTGGCTAAAATGTTGGGGTTCCTAGGCGTAATAAACAGTCTCTTCAAGTTTTGGGGGAAAGTCACTTTTATTACAAATCTAATTTAGATGAAGGTGTTTTTTTTTTTTTTTTTTTTTGCTCTATAGGATTGTTTTGCACGCATGTCCTCAAAAGTTATTTATATATCTGTGCGTTTTTACGCAGCGTAAAAGCTTTGACAGCTGTGCGTCACCCGTCCACAGTGGAAACGGTATAAATGATGAATTATTCTCTTCCTCTCTCTCAGGATGGCGAGCTCGACGCGTATCCTCTGCGGTATGGTTTTCATCATCGGGTTGCTTTCCTCTCCCGTGGATTCCAAAAGAAACCAAGGTTCACAAGGCGCCATCCCTCATCCTGACAAAAACAACCCAAACGAATCGGAGCAGCAACCGCAGCCTCCACAGGCAGGCTCCGGGTCCCGGCAGAGGCAGGGCTCATCCTCACCGGCCGACGAGGTGTTGGAGTCCAGCCAAGAAGCTTTGCATGTGACGGAGCGCCAGTATTTGAAACGGGACTGGTGCAAGACGCAACCCCTCAAGCAGACCATCCACGAGGAGGGCTGCGTCAGCCGCACCATCATCAACCGCTTCTGTTACGGACAGTGCAACTCGTTCTACATCCCCCGGCACATCCGCAGGGAGGAGGGAGCCTTCCAGTCTTGCTCGTTCTGTAAGCCAAAGCGTTTCACCACCATGACTTTTACATTGAACTGTCCGGACCAGCAGCCTCCCACCAAGAAGAAACGCATCCAGCGCGTCAAACAGTGCCGCTGTATATCCATAGACCTTGACTAGAGACGCACAGAAATGTGATGCGTGTGTTTCAAATCGTGCGCACTTCATGGACCGGATCGTGGTAGAAAAAAGAAAGGCTGTCATACAGCCAAGAGCACGTGCCCGTCTCCATAGGAGGACGCATCTATTAGCGCATCTATAGGCTGTAAGGATTCTCCTCTTGCACAATGTGTAAACAACTAGGGACATAACACTTCTGAATCGATGTTGAACTGCAACGAACATTTTTCTCCTCACCACTTTGCAAAGTTTGAAAACAAGCATCATTGCACGTGAACGCTGACTTGGAATGGGCACGTTTTACGCACGGCTTCCTCACCCCAAGAGGAGTGCATAACCCGTCCCGGGTTATTTCATAAATACTGTTCAGAACGCCTAATGTAACAGGAACTCATTGCTGTCCTTGGTTGTATTTTTGTGTGTATATTTCTTAGTCTAACTGAAGGTTTCCACTGTGTGGAATTTTAAGACGACAGGCGTTATTTGAAAATAGTAAATTTGATTTTATTTCCATATTACAGAAATCGTTTGAGGTTAATTCATTTCCTCTGATTTCAAAAGTGTTTTCGTAAGATTTGTTTGAGGCTTCTTGTTTGTAGTTAGAATGAAGAATGTACAGTGATGGTTTTTACAGTGTTGACATTAAATAGATGTAAAATGTACAGCCAACGTTGATGTAACCGGTCTGATTTTCCCTTTCATTAAATTATCCTTAGAGACATAAAATAAACGGATGTTGGAATATTGGACCAATCTCGTGTTACTTTTCACCTGATAAAAAGTAAGGAGTGTAGAAACATGTTCAAGCATCATCTGCTGCTCTCATCTTAGATCTTTGAGAAAAAACGTGGAGTTAGTTTTATGAGTAAAGATCCGCATACCAGTAACCAGTGTAGTGGTGCCTAAAAAATGGGAATATACTCTTAATTTTTCACCAAGATGTTTTTTAAGTGGCCCGTTCAGAGGACAAACAGCCTCTGTTATAAACAGTGTCATGTGAGACAACTCCTACAAATGTCATTTGTGTGTAACCTACTAGCCAATTAGAGACGGAGTAGGGAGAGTCATCCCTTCAGCATCAGGGGAAAACATTACAGCATGCTGCTAAATATTGTCAATCAATGACAGGTGTAAATCAGAGGAGATTAAGAAGTGTGTATACCCTATACTGAAAAATAAGTGGGTATAGTCCGTATATCCATGCACTATACACCACAGTAATACCATTTAAATCGATATTGGAAGAAAAGATCGCACTTTTTGTCGGGGCATTTTCTGCCTAAACGGCACACACTTACTTTAATAAAAACGTCGCAAAAAAGATTTTTTTTTTATTAGAAAAGACCCAATTCTCATCTTGATGACATCACGTTTTATCTATGCAGGCTACCCCAATCTGTATGACTCTTCCGGTGTTGAACAAATAGGCTGAACTGGAAGCCACACAGGTGTCACAAGACAACAGTAAGAACAACACGTATTTTCACGTTTTTTTTTTGTTTTGTTTTTATCAGAATCACTTGATAATGTGTTATTACTCCTGTAGTAAACATAAAAGCACAATTTAATGCAATTAAATCATGACGCAACATTCCTACTGTGAAGTACACATTTTTTTAAAAGACCAACAGACTAAACCCTTTAATCTAGTTCCCTTTGAATTTGACATTCCTCAAATCTCAGCCCTATGAATCCAAGTTCAGATAATATTCTATAATAACATATTTTTTCCTGTAAGGATACATTTCTTTCTTCCTGGAACAAGTTTTAAATATCTTCAAATGAGGTTTGATTGAAGAACTCTCACCCTGACTCAGTTTATTGAAAACCTTCTGTGAATTATGACTCACCACCTCCTTTAAGGTTTTTCACATAAATATCGCATCTGCTTGCTGCAGCCGTGAGCTTATAAAAGCTGCCAAATAAAAGTGTTGACAGATGAAACTGCAGAGACGAGGGCCCAGTTTGTTCAGCATCCAGTTTATTGTTGAAATTTAAAACAATTCCATAACATCACAGAGCACCTACATGAGAGCTACTGAAGGTTACATGAACCGACACACATACAGTAGAGGCTACAGCAGGTCCTTATCACCGCTTTTTTTCTTACATTTCTCAAACCATCTGGAGTAAAACATAACTTTAAACTGCTATGAAATATTTAGATTTGTTTTAATACAAAATAAATGGCACACGTGAAGGACTTTTGAGGGTTAAAAAAAAAAGGAATTCAAGGTGCAGTTTTGTGGAAACTGATAATGGAAGTTTTTCTGAGGTATAACAGCTCACATGGCTTCAGGTGATATGCTTCAATGTTCTCAGTACACAAAATACAACCCTCATCTCTCCAAAAATAACAGCAAATGAATGCAAATAACTCTGTTTATCTTTGTGAAAATATATCTTTCATTTGACTTCTCTAACAGGCAGCTTCTCAGTCAATCAAAACACATAAAAATACAGCCTCAAAGGGAACAAAGTGGATGTATTTGGCTTAAAATATTTCTCTCATTTCATAAATAGACTTTTCTTGAGTGTGGCCACACCATTCATATGCATTAGATTTACAGAGCTTAATAAATGTTCTAAGAAATAAAACACAAAATCAAAACATGAAGCAAAACAATGCATTAAACATTACAAGGAAACCAAACCCTTGCATAGGAAGAGAGGTGCAAAAAAGTGCAAGACATGAAATTAAAACGCAGTTAGCAATACTAGGGTAGTGTGGCTTCTAGCGAGCTAGCTACGGCGAACAGCTTCTGCAAGCAGTAAAGTGCTTAGAAGTGTGCACGACACAGTGTGATGTGCAGCACTCTTTAAAGGATTAACACGTTTCTATAATGCATATTTAATATTGAGGGTGAGTGTGTGCAGGGCCAAAGTCTTGCTGTGTTCTTCTGATGTTTCCCAAGTACATGTTCGTGAGTGTGACGGCCGAGGCTCGCTGCCAGGTCCTGCTCCTCTCTGGCCGACACACAGGAGAGGTCAGTGTGGTGCACTGCTACACAAAACGGTACAAAAACCCCCTCTACATTCTGATTGTTTCACACACATTTAGACACGTCTTCATCTGTGCTGAAGCAGATCATTTATCATACGCTGCGTGGTCCCTGCTGATACTACGACATGACATATTTACAAGACTTTTAATGAGCCATGGTGAATGAAAAGCTTTCCTGCTACAGCAAAGGACACTGGGAACGGATTTCTTTCTTTTTTTACCACTTCCAGAAAAAGTTTTATATGATTTCTTAACTTCTCAACACATTGAATATGTAAGAGCATTGTCATTCTGATCTGATGTTACTTTAACAGTCCAGATAAAAAGGTGTATCTGCTCTTGCAGATCCAGAAAAAAAAAAAAAAAAACCCTTGTGGATTTGTAAGCTGGCACGGCTGGGAATCCCACTGACCCTTTGAGACCTTTCACAAGCCGGGCCACTCAGAGGTCACGCTGCGCTGGATGAATGAGATCGACCTTTGGCCTCTCAGACTCTCATCACTGCGGCGGTGTCAGCCATGCATCCTCTCTGCAGGCCCGACGTCTGTCTGTGCAGCAGGCAGGAAAAGCTGGACGAGTGTGGGGAGAGTAGGGTGGGGACGGTTGGAGGTTAGTAGGGCAGAGATATGGCAGTGGGAGTAGGAAGCGTCGAGGTTTTGTAGTGAGTCTGTACAGGGCCAAAAAAGGGAAGGCCCAAAGTTGTTGAGGCAGGTGTTAAATGCAGGAGAGCTCAGGCCTGAACACTTTCCGGTCTTGTTCTTCAACGTTTCTCCCACCACCACTCATTTCTTCTTCTGCTGAGTCATTTCGTTCAGCTCGAGGAGACACCGGCCTCCTTCTGCCGCAGCCTCTCTTTCTGTTAGGAAGAACAAGAGAACGTTTATTTGATTTTCAATGCAGACAATAAAAGAGCATTTTTCTGCCCTGCGTACTTCAATTCTTACCAGACTGTTGGCGTTGATTTTCTTGGTTTCGACTGTCTTCTCAGCCGTTATCTTCTTGATGTTTTCTTGAGCTTCCTTCAACCTATGGAGAGAGAGAGAGAGAGAAAAAAGGCCCTTTAAAACTAAAAGTGCACACAGAGCTCTGGAGCTAAATCATGAAAATAGTACTTGGGCAACTTGTAAAAACAATGTAAAGTCAGAAGCCTCTCATCACTGTGACCTTCTGAAGTTGTTTGTAAGAGCATGACATTTAAGTATCTCCCTGGGGCACCTTGTGTCATGGAGCCATGTAGAGTTTTAAACACACACATACGTATATATACACACATGCACACACACACACACGGATCCTCTGAGGAGTTTGCGGTCAGTGAAACCCCTGTAAGTGAGAGGCAGTAGAGAATGACAGTGGGTTGATGAGATAATGAGGCAGCCTTTAAAAAACACTTGGCTTTTATGAGTGAGCAAACACTATTTAAAATAAAGTTAATTGTACATAAGCACAATCAGCTGGGAGTAATGTGAGGCACGATTACCTAGTAAACAATTAAGAAAGAGCACATGGATCCGAGGAGGAAGGAGGCTTTGTTACACAACATCTGCGGCGCGTAAAGGACGATGAAGGCACCACACTATATTTAAATCTTTGACTGGACAGTCATGAGCAGCTTCTCTTGTGGCTTCTCTCTCATAGGGTGTTGTCTTCCTGCCCTCTAGGCTGCATGTCCAGCATCATTACAGTGTTTTATCTGTTCTCCCATAATGCACTGCCTTTATCGGGCCACAAGCCCCTGGTCCGCTGGCTAGTAAAGCCAGGCATCGGCCAAGAGGGTCTACGCTTCTTCAGTGGAATGCCCCCTCCCCAACATGACGCCTCAGGTCATAGGAAACGTCATAAATTCAGGCCCCAGACCTTTAGACGGAGGGCCTCGGCCTCAGCTACTCCTCCTTTGTCTCCTCTTCGAAGGCCTCCCTCTCTGCTTAGCTCCTACACAACATCTGCATATGACTCTTGCAAAATGAGTGCTAATTTGACACAATGTCCAGAGGTTGTTAAAAAGTGAAAAAGATTATAGGTCTAACCAAATAGTGAAATGGCTGGACCTTTGTGTTGCAGAGTGTGGGTACATCTCTACATCAGTCATGTTTTTATGGCCATTACTTAAAGGGACACGCTAGCAAGTTAACATCGTGCTATCTTAAGTTGGAGGGCAAACCAGAGAAACGGTTGAATTCTGTGCATTGGAGGCAAAAACATCTCGACTCTAAAGTCCTTTATTTAGGTCAAGCTGTGAAAGCACTGGATCATCCCACAATGCAACTCAGCATCACAAATATGTTACTTTTTTAAAGAAGGCTCAAAAGTCTGACTTCACAGGGTTGACATCATAAAGGTTTATTTTTCTGACTTTAAGAGGACAACATTTAAACTTGTTGGAGGGTTCAGTAGTTGTCCTCCCGACGTGTCAACTAATCTTTGCTTTTCTTTAACATGGAAACCAACAAATGGACTCTAACCCACCTCTCCTTGGAGATGTTCTTGCTCTGTCGTACCCAGGCGTTCTTGAAGTCGTTGCAGAACTCGTACCACAGCATGAAGATGTAACTCGGGACCACTTCTTTCTCCCCAGACTTTGGCTTAACCCCAAAGTAGCTCACTGTGTCCTGGAAACTGTAGTTGGAAACAGAGCAGTGGCACAAACAGTGTTGTCTTATCACACATAAACACTTATAAATGTCAGACATAAACAATTAGAGTGCTTCAAGGAACTGTGGTAGAGTTACAAGTGAAAGTTATAAA